TTTACCATTTTAAAATGCAACAATTTAAAATGTAACATTGTATCATGTTAAAATGAAACTTGTTAAAATGTAACATTTTTAAATGTAACATGTTAAAATGTAACATTTTATCATGATAAAATGCAACATATTAAAATGTAACCTATTAAAATGTAACATGTTAAAATGTAAAATTTTTAAATGTAACATTTTATCATGTTAAAATGCAACTTGTTAAAATGTAACATTTTATCATGTTAAAATGCAACATGTTAAAATGTAACATATTAAAATGTAACATGTTAAAATGTAACATTTTAAAATGTAACATTTTATCATGTTAAAATGAAACATGTTAAAATTTAACATTTTATTATGTTAAAATGAAACATGTTAAAATGTAACATTTTATCATGATAAAATGTAACATATTAAAATGTAACATATAAAAATGTAACATGTAAAAATGTAACATTTTTAAATGTAACATTTTTAAATGTAACATTTTTAAATGTAACATTTTTAAATGTAACATTTTTAAATGTAACATTTTTAAATGTAACATTTTTAAATGTAACATTTTATCATGTTAAAATGAAACATGTTAAAATGTAACATTTTATCATGTTAAAATGCAACATTTTAACATGTATCATGTTGAAACGTAACATGTTAAAATGTAACATTTTATCATGTTAAAAGGAAACATGTTAAAATGTAACATTATATCATGTTAAAATGAAACATGTTAAAATGTAACATTTTATGATGTTAAAATGAAACATGTTAAAATGTAACATTTTATCATGTTTAAATGAAAAATGTAAAAATGTAACATTTTCAAATGAAACATGTTAAAATGTAACATTTTCAAATGAAACATGTTAAAATGTAACATTTTCAAATGAAACATGTTAAAATGTAACATTTTCAAATGAAACATGTTAAAATGTAACATTTTATCATGTTAAAATGCAACATTTTAAAATGTAATATGTTAAAATGTAACATTTTATCATGTTAAAATGCAACAATTTATCATGTTAAAATGAAACATGTTAAAATGTAACATTTTATCATGTTAAAATGAAACATGTTAAAATGTAACTTTTTATCATGTTAAAATGAAACATGTTAAAATGTAACATTTTCAAATGAAACATTTTCAAATGAAACATGTTAAAATGTAACATTTTATTATGTTAAAATGCAACATTTTAAAATGTAACATGTTCAAATTTACCATTATATCATGTTAAAATGTAACATTTTATCATGTTAAAATGAAACAAGTTAAAATTTAACATTTTATCATGTTAAAATGCCTCATGTTAAAATGTAACATTTTATCATGTTAAAATGCAACATGTTAAATGTAACATATTAAAATGTAACATGTTAAAATGTAACATTTTAAAATGTAACATTTTATCATGTTAAAATGAAACTTGTTAAAATGTAATATTTTAAAATGTAACATGTTAAAATGTAACACTATATCATGTTAAAATGCAACATGTTAAAATGAAACATGTTAAAATGTAACATTTTATCATGTTAAAATGCAACATGTTAATTGTAACATTTTAAAATGTAACATTTTATCATGTTAAAATGAAACATGTTAAAATGTAACATTTTATCATGTTAAAATGAAACATGTTAAAATGTAACATTTTATCATGTTAAAATGAAACATGTTAAAATGTAACATTTTATCATGTTAAAATGAAACATGTTAAAATGTAACATTTTATCATGTTAAAATTAAACTTGTTAAAATGTAACATTTTAAAATGTAACATGTTAAAATGTAACATCTTATCATGATAAAATGCAACATATTAAAATGTAACATGTTTAAATGTAACATTTTTAAATGTAACATTATATCATGTTAAAATGAAACATGTTAAAATGAAACATGTTAAAATGTAACATTTTACGATTTTAAAATGCAACAATTTAAAATGTAACATTGTATCATGTTAAAATGAAACTTGTTAAAATGTAACATTTTAAAATGTAACATGTTAAAATGTAACATTTTATCATGATAAAATGCAACATATTAAAATGTAACCTATTAAAATGTTACATTTTAAAATGTAACATTTTATCGTGTTAAAATAAAACATGTTAAAATGTAACATTTTATTATGTTAAAATGAAACATGTTAAAATGTAACATTTTATCATGTTAAAATTAAATTTGTTAAAATGTAACATTTTAAAATGTAACATGTTAAAATGCAACATGTTAAAATGTAACATTTTATCATGATAAAATGCAACATGTTAAAATGTAACATTTTATCATGATAAAATGCAACATATTAAAATGTAACATATTAAAATGTAACATGTTAAAATGTAACATTTTTAAATGTAACATTTTATCATGTTAAAATGAAACATGTTAAAATGTAACATTTTATCATTGTAAAATGAAACATGTTAAAATTTAACATTTTATCATTGTAAAATGAAACATGTTAAAAATTAACATTTTAAAATGTTAAAATGCAACATGTTAAAATGTAACATATTAAAATGTAACATGTTAAAATGTAACATTTTTAAATGTAACATTTTATCATGTTAAAATGAAACATGTTTAAATGAAACATGTAAAAATGTAACATTTTCAAATTAAACATGTTAAAATGCAACATGTTAAAATGTAACATTTTATCATGATAAAATGCAACGTATTAAAATGTACCATATTGAAATTTAACATGTTAAAATGTAACATTTTTAAATGTAACATTTTATCATGTTAAAATGAAACATGTTTAAATGAAACATGTAAAAATGTAACATTTTCAAATGAAACATGTTAAAATGTAACATTTCCAAATAAAACATGTTAAAATGTATTATTTTATCATGTTAAAATCCAACATTTTAAAATGTAACATGTTAAAATGTAACATTTTATCATGTTAAAATGTAACATGTTAAAATGTAACTTTTTATCATGTTAAAATGAAACATGTTAAAATGTAACATTTTCAAATGAAACATTTTCAAATGAAACATGTTAAAATGTAACATTTTATTATGTTAAAATGCAACATTTTAAAATGTAACATGTTCAAATTTAACATTTTATCATGTTAAAATGCAACATGTTAAAATGCAACATGTTAAAATGAAACATGTTAAAATGTAACATTATATCAGGTTAAAATGAAACATTTTATCATGTTAAAATGAAACATGTTAAAATGTAACATTTTAAAATGAAACATGTTAAAATGTAACATCTTATCATGTTAAAATGCAACATTTTAAAAGGTAACATGTTAAAATGTAACATTTTATCATGTTAAAATGCAACATTTTATCATGTTAAAATGCAACATTTTTAAATGTTATATTTTATCATTTTAAAATGAAACATGTTAAAATTAAACATATTAAAATGTAACATGTTAAAATGTAACATTTTAAAACGTAACATGTTAAAATGTAACATTTTATCATGTTAAAATGAAACATGTTTAAATGTAACATTTTATCATGTTAAAATGAAACATGTTAAAATGAAACATGATAAAATGTAACATTTTATCATGTTAAAATGAAACATGTTAAAATGTAACATTTTATCATGTGAAAATGAAACAAGTTATAAATGTAACATTTTATCATTTTAAGTGAAACTTGTTAAAATGTAACATTTTAAAATGTAACATGTTAAAACGTAACATGTTAAAATGTAACATTTTATCATGTTAAAATAAAACATGTTAAAATGTAACGTTTTATCATGTTAAAATATATGTTACATTTTAACATGTTGCATTTTAACACGTTGCATTTTAACATGATTAAATGTTACATTTTAACATGTTGCATTTTAACATGATAAAATGTAAAATTTTACCGTTTCATTTTAACATGATAAAATGTTACATTTTAACATGTTGCATTTTAACATGATAAAATGTTACATTTTAACATGTTTTATTTTAACATGATAAAATGTTACATTTTAACATGTTACATTTTAAAATGTTGCATTTTAACATTATAAAATGTACATTTTAACATGTTTTATTTCAAAATGTTACATTTTAACACGATAAAATGTTACATTTTAACATGTTTTATTTTAACATGTTTCATTTTAACATGATAAAATGTTAACATGTTACATTTTAATATGTTACATTGTAATATGTTGCATTTTAACATGATAAAATGTTACATTTTAACATGTTACATTTTAAAATGTTAAATTTTAACATGTTTAATTTTAAAATGATAAAATGTTACATTTTAACATGTTGCATTTTAACCTGATAAAATGTTACATTTTAGCATGTTTCATTTTAACATGTTGCATTTTAACATGCTTCATTTTAACATGTTTTATTTTAACATGTTGAATTTTATCATGATAAAGTGTTACATCGTAACATTCAACTTCCTAAACGAATTTCTGATAGGAAAGCTGTGATAAACATTAGAAATTCTGATGACTTTTGTTTCAAGTACGCGATCTTGTCAAAACATGTCACCAACGAACCCTGGATAGTGTCCCAATACATAAATAACAAGGAACTTGAAGATAAATATGATTGGAACTGTATTTCATTCCCAGTAAAACTCGATGAGATCAAACAATTCGAAAGAGTAAACAGTGTGTCCGTTAATGTGTTTGGACTAACAGAGCAGGCTGACGTTTACCCGTTAAAAGTTTGTGATGAAGAGAAGGAAACCCATTTCGATTTACTGTACGTCACAGATTTAAATACATCACATTATTGTCTGATAACCGATTTTAATAGATTAGTTCATTCCCAATTTACAAAAGATCACTGTAAAATCAAGGTTTGTAAGCGTTGTTTTGCTCATTTTAACGATTACTATGACAAAACCGCTGAGGAAAAAATGGTTGCATCAATTGGAATGTCTGAAAGTTCAGCGATGTGAATTTCCATCTGATGACACTATTTCATTCAAAAATGAGCATCGTTCAAAGAAAGTTAGGTTTGTGATATATGCAGATTCGAAACACTACTACAGCCAGTGCATGCGTGTGATGGTGACACAGAAAAGTCTTGGACAAGTGCATATCAACATCACACACCTTATAGCTATGCATACTTGTTGAAAGACTCTGAGGATCAGCACACACAACTGCGAGTGTATCGAGGACAGGACGCTGCCAAAAATTTTGTAAAAAGCATGAACGATGATATTCAATTCATAGACAAGATTTTGTTCGGCGACAAGAAGCTTAAAGTACCTAAGCTTACGCAGAAGGAACAGGAAGACTTCGATGCTGCTACTGCCTGTCACGTTTGTAACAAAGGAAACTTTACCCAGGAAAACTGCAAGGTAAGAAATCATTGTCATGTCAGTGGAAAATATCTTGGAGTCGCTCATAGACACTGCAATCTGTTTTATCAAGATCAACATTTTGTGCCCTGCTTTATCCACAACCTGTCAGGATATGACTCTCATTTTATCGTAAGAGAATTAGGGTATGACACAAATGAAATTAAAGTTATACCCAACACTGAAGAAAAATACATCTCATTTTCAAAAATGGTTAAAGTGAAACATGCCAAGAATAATGTGATGGAATTGAGATGTTTAGATTCCTATAGATTTATGCAGGATAGTCTCAGCAACTTGGCAATTAACCTACCAAAACCTGATTTTATTGAAACAAAAAGAAATTTTCCTGAAAATACCGAACTGCTAACAAAAAAAGGAGTATTCTGCTACGACTACATGACTGCATTTGACAAACTCGAAGAAAGACAACTTCCACCAAAGTCTGCATTTTACAGTAGACTTAGTGAAGAGGAGATAAGCGATGAAGACTACAGTCATGCGGAAAACGTGTGGAAAACATTCAATATAAAAACATTAGGGGAGTATTCTGACATCTATGTAAAATGTGACGTCTTGATTCTGTGTGATGCATTTGAAAATTTCCGCAAAACCTGTCTAATGACATACAACTTAGACCCTGCCTACTACTTTACTACACCAGGACTGGCATGGGATGCAATGTTGAAATATACAGGCATTCAACTCGAAATCATTAAGGACATGGACATGTTTTTGATGGTTGAGAAGGGAATTCGAGGCGGGATCACACAGTGTATCAAACGTCATTCCGTAGCCAACAACAAGTATATATCAAAAGACCCTAATGTGCCCAGCAAATATTTAATCTATATTGACGCAAATAACTTATATGGGGAAGCCCTAAGTCGTCATATCCCTTATGCTGGGCTCAAGTGGTGTGATGATTTAGAAATTGATATTGAGTCCATACCTGACGATGCAGACGAGGGATACATACTTGAAGTTGACCTGGAATATCCACAAACGCTACACGACGACCATGCTGACTTACCTTTCTGTGCAGAGACAAAAGTACCACCTGGAGGTGTACATAAGAAACTTTTAACAACAGTTGAAGACAAAGAAAAATATGTGATACATTACGTAGCTCTAAAACAAGCATTGAGTCATGGATTGAAGTTGAAAAAGATTCATCGTGCAATTCAATTCAAACAAAAAGACTGGCTCAAACCTTTCATTAATCTAAACACGGAAAAGAGAAAAAATGCATGCAACGAATTCGAGAAAGACTTTTACAAATTGATGTCCAATGCGATATATGGGAAGACGATGGAACAGGTTCGAAACAGACTCGATATCAGGTTAGTGTCAGATCCGAAAAAGGCTGAGAAATTGATTTCAAAACCAAACTTTATCGATCGAACAGTCTACAATGAGAACTTGGTAGGCATTCACATGGGAAAGACAAAAGTTGTTTTGAACAAACCAATTTATATTGGTATGAGTATTTTAGATTTAAGTAAAGTGCGAATGTATGACTTTTATTACGCCGTATTGAAGCCATTTTACGGAGACAGAGTGAAACTTTGCTACCAGGATACCGATTCTTATTTTCTTAAGATTGAGACAGTAGATTTGTATGAAGACTTAAAATTGCTACAAAAACATCTTGACACCAGCAACTATCCCAAGGACCATCCTCTGTTTTCAGAGGGGAAAAAAAAGTTCTTGGGAAGTTTAAGGATGAATTAGGTGGTGAAGTGATGAAAGCCTTTGTAGGACTACGAAGTAAGGTGTACGCCATAGACAAGAGAGACAGTCCCATCAAAAAAGTCAAGGGAATCAAAAAATCTGTTGTGAAAAACAAAATAAAATTTGAAGACTACGTCCAGTGTCTGTATTCTTGTGAGTCTACCTACACTATGAACAACATCATCTCATCGAAGAAGCATATCGTTTCAACTGTTGCTATAAACAAGGTGACTTTGAGTGCTGACGATGACAAAAGATACATTCTACCAGACAAAATCAACACACTTGGACACACATTATCGACTTCAGGAACCACCATTGAAAAGAAGAAAACGAACTGTTTAGGTGTAATAAAAACAGATAATGTACAATATGTTTTTATGTATCTATGATTGTAAAGTAACAGCAGTGGATATAAAATCGCATTAAAAAAGTCGTGGCTAGGGCTGAAAGGCGATCCACGTAATACAGGGTGTTTTTTTTTCATTCAAGTACAGTAAGACACTTTGACCAACTGTTTATGTTTTCTTAACTTCAGCTTGTTTAATTGAGAATTGTGAATAAGCATTAAAAAAACACCCTGTATAAGCTAACGCCCATATCGGATCTACCTCTTGGGTATGCTGTTACTTTTTTGAGTTGTGTGTTAACATAGACTAAAACGCAGGTTAAACATCAAACCCAAACTCTAAATCAACAACACATTGCAATTAGAACTAAAATAGTTTACTCAACAAACACATAAGGATAGTTTTGACAACACGAGTAAAAATTGTATGAGCCTTAAAAATTTTCGTCAGACTAATTACGCCTACAATACTTTACCTTTTCTTAAAAATCACTACTCATAACTTCCAAAAGAGATTATGTTTTTTTCTGCCACAAATTATGATGCAACACTCATTGTTTAATCAATTGGTCAGATGATAAGTTGACATTTGATGTATTCTCTAAATATATGAACCCTATTGGTACTCATGTTGTCAAGTAAAACAACAATGCTCTTAAGTAAGTAAACAATGCCGTGAAGTCAATAGAACTGAAATGGATAGTTGGTCATAACGTCTGTTAAACCCATAGTTCTACAATCACAGGATCGCAAGGATAAAAATCCAAACATCAACCAAAGCCATTATGATAATATATTAACAAATGAATCTAGAATGCACTTATTCGTACTGTATAACCATAAACATACTAAATTAGTAGATTCCTCATTTTTATGGAACAACTGAAGCCATTTTTTATGTTAGTTATGTCCCTTGCAATGCAGATGTCGTGGTTTTTTTTTACAATTCCTTCATTGTTATTTCAAACATTTTCAACCTTCAAACGATCTAATCAGAAACAATGACCCGATTTATATAACCAAACGGTAAAACATATATCATGAAGTTAACCATGATAGAAAAAAAAATGTCGTCAACACTAGCAATCATTGTCACCGGACATGAACTAAACATAAAAAAGAGCTTCAAAATTGACAATGAAGTCTACTTGTGTTGGTTAGTCTATGGTCTAAGGTGTTTTAAACCAAAAGTTCATAATTATCACATTTACTTGTTTAATTTTATAATCTGAAATGAATTGTCTGAAGCAACAAAACTCATTTATCAATAACACCAATGACATTGTTGTGTGCTCGAGTATTGGAAAACATATATTTCAAAAGCAAAACATTGTTGATGACATATGATAGACTTTTTGCATTCAAGTACTGGATTATACATATTAAATGCAAATGTTTTACACTGTTTTCATGTGATCACGAGTCTGGCCCAGCAACATCTCATCTCTTTGACTGAGGGACCATAGCCTGATGGTTTCGACAGTGACGAGATCGACTATCGTTTGAGAGAGGGATTCTCAGGCATCTTAATTGATTGTTTAACTTTTGATCATTTTGCCTTAAATGAAACAATGTTTATTTTTTATGAAGATACTGTTGTTTAAAACTTGTTAGATTCAATTAATTTTTTTTCTTCGAATAGCTGTTATTCTATCCCAAAATCTCAAACCCCCAGCTTGCATTGAACCTAGGATTTCCCATTACCATAAACGTCAGGACATTGACACGCTTGTTTAAACATTACCTTTAAAGTTACATGAGTTGATCATGTAATTAAAAACAGGAAAGGATACGAGATATGGTGTTGTTTCAAATAATATCCATTTCCACCTCAAAGTCAATGTAACAATCTACTTTTGGACTCATCTAGTCTAGGCTTTAAACTTCGTCTATGCAACTCCATTTTGGCTTCATACACATGATACATATCAGCACTGATAATACAAGGAGTTCTTTCAATGCGATCAAAAAGCTTTTTATAACATATTGGATACGCAAGAAACTGACATTAAGGAAACTTGGACATTTGAAACAAAAAATTAAGGTTGTGTACCATCTAAAATACCACTGTAGGATCATTGGCCGTTTATTGACACTGCTATACCAACACAATAAAACTAGGTAAAGATGTAATTACATTGGGAATGGTGCAAGGTAAATAAATCGAGCATTGGTGTTTTTGCTGAACCAGTTTGAGCACTGCTTCAGGCAGACGCATTGTGAACAAGCTTGTGAGTATACAAATCTCTACAAATTTACTAGAAACTAACTGTCTTATTAGCATTGTCGTTGAAAAAGTAACTCACACCATTTGTTAAAATACATATATTTCATCAAACAGACTATTTTGAATTACATACCTGGTTCTCCTTTTGACTCTGGCATGATATCACAAGCTACACATTATAACTCTACACTTTTTGGTTTCCTAGGTGGGTTATCAGAACTGGTAGTTCGTTCAACACAGATGACTGTTTCATATTGGTTACTCGCAATATCTGAGTCACTGATGTTGGTAATTTGAACACTAACATTATTACAGCAGAACACCACCTCCACATGTAATAATTTGATCACTTTTGAACACCAAAGGAATAATGTTGTGGTAAGAGCATCAGTGTTTGCTGAACCAGTTTGCTGCTCACCTCTTCTCCCCTGATACGGGCAGAGATACAGTTAGAACCAGCAATATAATGAAAATATCACTACCAACACAGGAAGATGTACGGTCAGTATTAAATTCAAATTTTGAAAAACTCTGTATAAAACCTTTGATTGACGTTTGGTCTGTTAAGTGCGTTTAGAAATACTACATTCGTTGACAAAATAACTCCCAACGTGGTGTTTTTTCACATATTTCAATATAACTCCAGTTGTTCCTTATTATTTTAAGCAATTTGGAGCTCCTTGTATGGATAACATGTTAAAATACGTGTGTAAAGTATGACCGAAAAAAGTCTATTGTTCAGACCCAAGTGAAGACAAACGTGAGTGGTCTCAAACTGGGAGGTTGAGACAACTGCATGATATCTCTACCTGAAAGCCTTGATAATCTACTTTTGGGACTCAGCGAGACAACAGTGATGACCACTGCATATGTTACACAATAAAACTCTACATATTATTCACAGGTGAGGTACAAATCAGAACTGGTAGTATAAAGATTCTTTAGACATAAAAGTTGATCTACTGTTTTACAGCATTTTGGATCGATCACTAAGCCTATAGCTTAGATAACTATTTTGAAATCACACTAACAATTAAGCATCATGACACCATCTATCGATGTAAAAGCGTTGAACAGTTATCAACCCTATCGTTTTAACGCTATTTAAACACTTATAAGTTGAGATGATAGTTCATTAGCTCAAGATTACCATCTCATGCTGGTAGAAAAATTACTATAAGAGACTCGAGTGTTTTCCATCCGCTAAACCAGTTTGCTGACCACTTCTGATCGCCTGATACAGGTAAAACATTCGCAGACTCCAGAATCATATCATAAGTTATATCATTAAAACCCTTAATAAATATTTAACTCAGAAATTGTGAAGATAACCAGCTACAATAGCATTTATTTGATTATTACACTATATATGTGTACATATATGTACACTAAATATGAGCATTTACCTTTCAGCCATATCAATAGGCTGAAAAAATCAACAGAAATATACACAAAGAGCCAGCTGATAACGTCTTCACTTCAAGTAGTAAACAATAGGTTTAAATTGTTTAAATCCAACACACATCAAAATTAATTTCCAAAGCAGTTGTCTAACCCTACACTCCTGATACTACGTTCACTAAAAACTTATAAAATAAATTTATAAAGTGTTTTTAAAGTAAAACATTTATTGATTACTAGCAAATGTCCATTTATTAACAATGTATGAATCAGTTAAACAATATTAATTATAAGACATCGAAAACATCAAAACTTCAATTTTTTGTCTCTTTATATTTTTCTTTTAAATCCATGATAATTGATACCTTGATTAATCGTTAATTACTTATTTTCGAGCGAGGGGGTTAACTCCAAGATTTTTAAGAAGGTCTTTCCCATAAGAGCTCATATAAACTCCCGAATAAACATAAGTATCTTAGCCTATGATCGTTAATACCTTGATTAATCGTTAATTACTTATTTTCGAGCGATGGGGGGGGGATTTTTAGAGATGCAGCCCATACTCCTAAATAAACATCAGTATCCTAGCCTCATTAATTGCTTTGATGGTGGTGGGGGGGATCTCAGATGGTAGAGTGGTGGGGGGGACGGATCCCGGATTTTGAGAGGGATATTCCCATAAGAGACCATATTGGATCCCTAAGTACAACGCAGATATATATCCTACTTTCCTCGTTTTGCTATGAATCAATTGATTCCAGATGAGTAACGATACCAGAGATACAGGCGGTGACAGGTGATGCGCACGCTCTGTTCAAAAACCTGACCTTGGCCTACTTGGGGGGATTTAGCAGGAGAAAGTATGACTCATATGGTATGGTTCGATTCATAACGAAACAAAGAAAGTCCTACAAACATATGTATGATAACCCAACCTAACATAACCGCCAAAGCGTGCTGTATAAGGGTGGCCTCTGGATAATACCAAAGTACCAAATGTTTTTAAGAAGGGAATTGCTTTTTATTAACAGCAAACCTTTTTCAGGTTTACTAGCTGCATCATGTCCAAACACCTTTTCTAACAAGTTTATGAAGGAAGAGTAAGAGAGTGATTTACACAAGCTGGAACAAGAATGGCAAATATAAACAAGAGGAGATTATTGTAGTCTGTGTAAA